GACACTGATGAGGAATCCTAAAGTGGTGACTGGTCCGTGGAGAAAGCTGATCAGTGAACACTTCACTGTTGCTAGAGAACAGGATGATGGACAGTGTTGTGGTACTTCATGATATACTCTGGGATCTGTACATAGGCACATTCTGATTCGCCAGCTACATTTATGTAAATTTAAGTGAGTGGATGCATGCTTGTGATTGGAGGAGAGTATTAGCCATAGAGTCCAGAGAGAGGGCGGAGCTTGTGTAAGAGAGGTTTGTAATGCCAAATGAACTTTTGAGGCAACAAATTCATTTTGAGGTTTCGTCACTGACAAGAACACATCAACATTTTATCCTTATCTTCTTTGTACCACCAGACATTTATGGCGAGCTCGATGTCTGCCAGCGCAGACTCCGACACAGACTGAAGAAGTTTGAATACATTTATGAGGGCGTGGCTCAACAAGGCACCCAGACACTTCTCAACAAGGTGTACACTGAGCTCTACATCACCGAGGGAGTCAGTGGGACTGTTAATAATGAACATGAGGTCCAGCAGATTGAGGCTGCGACCAGAAGACGAACAGCAGAAGACAAGCCAATCAAATGTGAAGACATCTTTAAGCCGCTGCTCGGACAGGTCAGATTCATCAGAACCGTTCTGACTCAAGGAATCGCTGGCATCGGAAAAACCATCTCTGTGCAGAAATATAACCTGGAGTGGGCAGAGGGAAGAGTTAACCAGGATATCCAGCTCCTGGTTAATCTTCCATTTCGGGAGCTGAATCTCATGAAGGAGCACCACTTCACACTGACGCAGCTTCTTCATCATTTTCTCACAGAAGCCAGAGAAACAGGGATTTCAGATTTTGGCAAATACAAGCTGGTGCTGATATTTGATGGGTTGGACGAGTGTCGGCTTCCCCTGGACTTTGACCACAATGAGCCCTGCCGCAGTGCCTCAGAGCCAACTTCACTGGATTCACTACTGACGGATCTGATCCGGGGGAACCTGCTGCCATCTGCACACATCTGGATTACCTCCAGACCTGCGGCTGCCAAACGCATCCCGGTCGATCTCGTTGACCGTGTGACAGAGATACGAGGGTTCAACGACCCCCAGAAGGACGAGTACTTCAGGAAGAAGATCCCTGATGAAATCATGGCTGAGAGAGTCATCTCACATGTCAAGTCAACCAGGAGCCTCCATATAATGTGTCACATTCCCGTCTTCAGCTGGATATCTGCCACTGTTCTGCAGAGGATCTTAGAAGAAACAGAAAAGAGGAAAGACTATGATGCAGGAGGAGAAATGCCAAAGACTCTGACACAAATGTACACGTATTTCCTGGTTTACAACTTCATGATCAGAACACAGAAGTATTCAGCAGGACACGATGCCTCTGAAACACAGTCCCAGGTGAAAATGAACGAAGAAATGGTCTTGAAGCTTGGAAAACTGGCCTTCGAGCACCTGATGAAAGGCAACATGATCTTCTATGAGAGCGAACTGAGCGAATACAACATCAACGTCACTGATGCTGCGACATATTCAGGAGTGTTCACAGAGATCTCAGAGCATGACTTCGGACTTCATCTGGGGAGGGTCTACTGCTTCGTCCATCTCAGCATTCAGGAGTTTTTTGCTGCGATATACATTTTTCACAGATTCATCTGCTTCAATCAGAACGTGCTGGAACCAGGCAAAGCCACCACTGTCCAGGAGACTCCCAGCAATGTGTCCAACCTTCTGAAGAGTGCAGTGGATCAGGCCCTGCAGAGTGAGAACGGACACCTGGATCTCTTCCTGCGTTTCCTTCTCGGCCTCTCACAAACATCCAATCAGACTATGTTGAAGAGAGTTCTGACCACGATGAGGAGCAGTTCACCAAGAAACAAGGAAACTGCCGAGTACATCAAAGAGAAGATCCAGCAAAATCCCTCTCCAGAGAGATGCATCAATCTCTTCCACTGCCTCAGTGAGTTGAACGATCAGTCTCTTGTGGAGGAAATCCAGAACTACCTGAGCTCTGGGAATTTGTCAGAGACGCAGCTGTCACCATCACAGTGGTCTGCTCTTGTCTTTGTGCTGCTGACCTCAAAGGAAGAGTTGGATGAGTTTGAATTGAGGAAATACTCAAGATCAGAGGAGGGTCTTCTGAAGATGTTACCAGTGATCAAAGAATCCAGAGTGGCCTTGTGAGTAAACAGCAATGTCATCAATGTACGACCAGATCGCTTCCTTTCTATTAAAATTCAGCAAATGATGCTAATATGTTCAATTGTCTTTCATTTTGAAGGCTTAAAGAATGTAACCTCACAGAGAAATGCTGCAGAGAACTTGGAGCCGTTCTGAGCAGCTCGTGTCTGATGGAGTTGGACCTGAGTGACAATGAACTGAAAGACTCTGGAGTAGAGCTGCTGTCTGCTGGACTGGCAAGTTCAACATGTCGGCTGGAAAAACTGAGGTTTGTTTAACAAACCGAACACACGGTCGAATTTGGTGAATACGATTTCTTATTAGATTCTGTGAATTATTTTAAGTTTGTTTTACTCTCTAATGTCAGGCTGCCGTTCTGTGGGATCACAGAGATTGGTTGTAGCTTTTTGGCTGCAGCTCTGAGGTCCAACCCCGCCCACCTGAAGGAACTGGACCTGAGTTATAATCATCCAGGCCAACAGGGGACGGAGCTGCTGTCCAGTTTACAGGAGGACATTGAACAGCTCACTGTCAAGTAACTTTAAGTTCAGTGGCACAGATTGTTTTATTTTGTTCTGTCAATCAGTTAAGCACTTTTTACTCATCAGATGTCCTATGTGATTTTTCCTAGCTTGAACGACAATGCAGAGTGCTACTTGAAGTCAGCTCTGAAGAAATGTAAGTCAGTTTTTTTAAAAAGAAATTGATGACAAGTGTATACTGTGTACATATATATATATATATATATATATATATATATATATATAATATTACATATAACGTATGCTATTTGTGTTTCATCAGATGCGCATGAGCTGACTTTGGATCAGAATACTGCCAATTCACACCTGTCTTTCTCTGAAGACAACAAAAAAGTGAACCTGGTGGAAACAGCTCAGCCTTATCCAGACAACCCAGAGAGATTTTCAGAGTGGGCACAAGTTCTGAGTGAAGAGGGTCTTTCCTCTCGGTGCTACTGGGAGGTGGAGTGGACTGGGGATAAGACAGGTATAGGTGTGTCTTACAAAGGAATCAACAGGAAAGCAAAAGGTACTGAAGGTATCTTTGGCTACAATAATCAGTCCTGGAGTTTGCGCTGCTGTCACGGTAAATACACAGCCTGGCACAACAGCGATGCGTCCACAGATATCCCCCGTGTCCTCGACTCCAAAAGGGTCGGTGTGTTCTTAGACTGGTCAGCTGGCACTCTGTCCTTCTACGCTGTATCGTCAAACACCATGACTCATCTGCACACTTTCCACACTAAATTCTCTGAGCCAGTGTATCCAGGCTTCAGACTGAGCTACACAGACTCCTTCTTTATTCTGTGCCAGCCTGAATACTGTTAAATACCCCAAAATATTCAGTGCACATGTTCATAAAATATGAACACAGAATAAATGAAGGCTGGGGAAAAAAGCTTATTGTGTAAACATTTTTAGGAAGATAAAGGGATTTTAGGGGGCTTTGTGTCTAACATGCTGTTTGTTTGTATTATTATTATCTATATTAAGGTTTCCTATCAAGTTAGAGTTCTGTAGCAGAGCTCTCTCTGGTGGCAAGTCACTCAGAAAGGTCTACTGTACTGCACTTCTATATATCTGCACTTATATATCTGCACTTATATATCTGCACTTATATATCTGCACTTCTATATATCTGCACTTTTCTAGTCTTCCAATGACTCAAAGGGCTTTTGCACTACGAGACACATTCACACATTCACACACACATAGCAGTTTGGGGGGATTGAACCACCGATCTTGAGATTAGTAGACAACCCACTCTGCCTCCTGAGCCACAGTGACGCCCCCTAGTGTGTAGGGTTTAGTGGCATATAGCAGTAACGCCGGATTTCCACTGGATGTGTGTCCGTTGCGGAACGGCAGCGCTGGTTATCCGCTGCGTGCTCCGCCGTCCATCAATACCCACCGGCTGCGTTTGCTGTGCGGAGCGCTGCAGCTCCGACAGAAGACATCTGGGTGCACCTCCATGATTAACATCTCCTCGTCCATGGTGTCAACGGGGTGAAATGATGTCTGAAAACCTCTGACCTGTTGACTTCAGGCCTGCCTACGCCCATTATGACGTTTTCAAGGTGTAGTGCAGGGAAATATGATCCGCCGTGAACACTGTGTATTTTATTTTGAAAATTAACTGGATGTTTTATTGTGTTTCTGTGCACGACTTCCTGCCCCGCATGATCTGCTCTGTGCTGAATTGCTGCGTTGTGCTCCGGCATCCAGCAAAAATAGAAGTCCTGCATATCTGTGGCGGAGGGCTCCGGAGTGCCGCTGCCGTGCCGGAGCGCAGACGCAACCAACACGCATCTGGTGGAAATAGGCCGTAAAAAGAGCTGCAGATGACAACAGACTGAAACTTCTCCCATGTCGAGCAGGAGAAATACAGTGGCCAACACAAAAACACAACTCTCCTTGTCTGGAGTCAGTGTTTGGTTTGTCCAATCAGGGCTACTGGAGAAACAACATGGTGGGAAATACAATCACTCTTAGTGTCAGGTGTTCACACATGACTGCAAATATAGTTATGAATATTATATATCTGCTGATAGCTCCCCCTGCAGCGGTTAGCCACAACATTAAAACCACTGACAATCATCATGTTACAGTAGGTTTCCTTTGGTCCTGACGTTCATGTGGATCCCACCTGAGGCTCCGCCCACCCAAACACTGTTAGAATCACCGTCACCTCGACAGCTGTCTTTCCAACAATATTCAATAAGCAGTCAATGTAAAGATGTATGGATTATACTCTGAAACAAGAGTGACTTGAACGTGTGAAGGAAACATACACCAGATATGAACTTTATGTTACCAACTATTTATTTTGTGAAATGTTCATGTTATTATTAATGTTCATATTAAACTGTGAAGAAGTGTGATCACTGTTACATAGAAAATATACAGTAGAAGTGAAACAAGCAGTGAAATAAATAAAGGATTCATTTCAAACATTCCTGATCTGAACATGTTTCTTTCATTTCTCTTTTTTATTCACTCATAAAAACACAAACCAAACTGCAGATTAAAAAAAAGCTCTTCACTCCTGTTATAAATTATTGTTGCTTCATTGTGTGAGTGCAGAAAGAAAAAACTATGGATCAAAACTCAAAGACGTGTGATGTCCTCACTCAGAGACAGAGATGTGTTAAAAGTGAATCAGTTAGTCGGCAGCTGAAGAACGATCAGATCCTTTGTCTTCTGTCTGGTTGTGTCGGTCGTTCCTGCAGGTCAGAGCTCTGCAGCTTTAGCTTTAGCTGAGGAGGAAACACAATCAACATGTCAGTGTTTGTTCTTCTGTCACGAAATACACACATCTTCAATTTACATCAGAGCTACTTCTGCAAATTAAACACATTTAACTTTCAATAGAATTTTGTCATTTGTTTAAAATTTGTGTCCAGAAGATTTCACAAAGACAAACTGCTCCCAGGGGACAATGTCCCGCAACTGTTTAGTTTTGTGTTGTAAATCTGGTACCTGAAGGAAACCTGGCTCAAATATTATCTTGACATATAATGTGTATTTGAATCTGACAAATTAAAACAAAATCATTGACTGCAGACTGAAATAAAATACTGTTATTCTGATAAATACAAACCACTGAACAGTATCAATGTCATTATTCCTGCAAGAGTTCAATCAAGATATTACATAGAAAACACACACACACACACACACACACACACCGCCTGCACATACACGAGCGAGCGCCACATTTAACCAGAGCAGCTCTTTAAGATCCCAGAGCCCAGAGGAAACCTGAAGCTGGAACATCACCCAAAACACAAACACCAGGACTGTGCACAGATTCAGTCAGACAAGAAACTCTGAAACCAAACTATAAAATGTTCAGACAGAGGTGAACAGGATATACCATGATGTGTTTTAGCTCCTCTATAATAATAATGATCTCCTGCTCCAAACTCAGGTCATGAACGTGATTAAAAATATCTGGTTACATTTTGGAGGTTCAATCAGGAAAGGGCAGTAGAGGAGACACACACACACACACACACACACACACACACACACACACACAGTGATGTGACTGGGAGCAGTTTCACAGCAGCCCTGAGACTTCGCTTCAATCAGGACACAAAAAATGAAAACACCTCATGTACGTCACCAACAGACATTAAAGAAAATAGGTTTATGGTTTTTGTCTCCAGTCTGTGCACACTCCTGAGCCACACCAAACCAGATACACAACACAACACCACCCAGAAGGAAAGTGACAGGTACCTGGACCAGACCTGCTCACCGACTCCGGACACTCGGTCCCTGCACACCAGGGACAGATGACATGTCTAACATGACTCCTGTGTCTCTGTCTGTCAGCACAGGTTTGAGGTTCACAGGACAGTTGTACACAGGATATTTTAGTCCGTCTTTAGTTCTTAATGGGGCTGGCGAGTTTTTAGGGTGAAGGTTAGGATCATTGAAGTTGAAGTTTTGAGGGTTTAGGGAGAACATGTGTCACAGCTGTGATGGCTGATGGTTAGTTTGAGGTCCAGCTGGTCACTCACCTGCCACCTGTTTGCTCTTGCGCGAGGCCTCTGAGGCCAGCGCCTGAGACACGTCCATGATCCTCTCCTGCTGCTGCAGAGCTGAGTCCAGCTCACTGAAGTCCAGCGATGCCGACGGCTGGATGTTCTGAAAACTGTTGGAGGGACACAAAGACTGTTAACCAGTGGATTCATGAACACCACACTGACTATATGGATCACCATTCAGACCTTTATTTCCATGTACAGTACATCTGAAGCCCGTGGCAGCCATTTTAAACTCAATCAATACATTTGTCTGAGAGCAGACACAGAATATTGAACATCGTCCCTTTGAATACCAACACTGTCCCTGTGTTAAAGAACCAAAACCAGTATCAACCTAGCTCCAGGGTCATGTACCTGGATTTGGCCAGGAGGTTCTTGATGCGTTGGGCCCGGCGGGAGCGTTCCTCCAGCTCCTCTGGACTCAGAGGCTCATCAGGGTCGGACTCTACGTAGCGCTCTGGGATGGGAACTTTTCTGGGTTTGGACAGCTGCATGTTGGACATAGGTCGTCAGTGTTAAAGTCTGCCTCTGGGCACGTTTGAGACATAAAAATACTGACATGATTTTTTCCCAAAGTTTTGAGTGAACGTCACACTGGATTTGAAAAAGGTTGCTGAGAGTAAGAGTATAAAAGCCTTCTCTAAGGTTTTCTCATTTCTATTTTTTCCACAGATGTTTTATCAGAGAACAAACCCTGCTGCACGTCTTTGTTCAAATACTGAAAGAAAGTTTTCTTCATATTAAAACAGTCATTACGTGTCTGTGGCCTCTTTGATCCGTGCTGACAATGAGGCAGCACAGAGGTGTTATCTCTTCTAGACGGATAAAGACAGACAGCTGGTTGATGAGTTGTTTGAAGGAGTTTAACTCAGGTTCATCTGGGTTTTTCTTTCAGCTGTGAAAAGATGTTTTTGTCTTTTTGTTCAACAGTTCATTCATCAGTTTGGGCTCTCTCTATCAGATCTGTGTTCCTCATTAAGCTACTAATGAAGAAAGGTGAACACAAGTACAGAGGACCTGCATTGTGTTCAGAAGGTGATGATGAAGATCAAGTGGATTCTACTTTCTTTAAACGTGTTTGAGCAATCAATGAAAACAGTAAAACCTGAGATGAGCAGTAAATTCTTTTGTTCTTGAGGTTGTGCAGACAAACAGATTTTACTCTTCAGTCTGACTGTCGTCTCTCTGTAACACCTTGTTCAGGATGGAAACAGATCTAATAGATAAAATATACTTTTATAAACGGAGTGTTTAAATATTCTCCACATCCTGGAGCAGACAGAATAAAACACACTGAGGCTCATCCATGTTATGATGCTGATATGAGTGATGTGTCTCTACCTCTCGGCTGATGTCCAGGTCATAGTCGAGAGGCTCCACATCCACCTCTCGTATGTGTGTGGTTGTAGCTGTCACTGTCACCCACTCATCTGATTGGATCCTTCGTCTCTCTTTGGCGTGACTCCACCCTTCGTCGCTCTGACCCTCTGCAGCGGCTCGCTCCTCCTGCCAATCAAACACCTGGAAAAACAGCAGCAGGACTCAGAGTTACGCAGCTGACAGTGACTAACAGATCAGCTGTTAACAGTTTCAGATCTGAGTCTTTAAAGGTCAAATAATTATTAATTATTCTGGACACGTGTGGGTAAAAGGTGTTGTGTGTTTATTATCAGGAAATTTAAAGGAGTTATTGAAATTATCGACACAGAGTTTCTTTCTGATCCAACCCAGGCTCAGTCTGACAGTTTACATATTTTGGAGTGTTAACGTTAGATCAGGAGCATACAAGGAGCTGAAGAGTTTTACATGATGGATGTTTTTCAAAGACTAAATTATTAGTTGATTAATCAGTTATTCAACTCATATTAAATTTGCAACAATGCTGATAATCAATAAAATTGTAAAGAATTTACTGCTTCGGCATCTTAAACCTAAGAATTTGCTGGTTGTCTTCTGTGATAGTAAACTGAACATGTGAACATGTTTGAGTGTCGGACTGTGGATCAGAGAAAATAAGGAATCTGAAGAAGTCGTATCGGGCGGAAACATTTCTACACAGCACAGAGATTAACTGAGAAATGAACTGCAGATAAAGAGATAATTAAAATAATCACTTTACAGATCAACGACGTGTTTATGTCCTTTAATAATCTCACAGACCCGTGTGGGGCTGTGACCGGACGGACAGAGGAGAGCAGTGATTGTCTCTCTCTCTGTGAGTTTATGGTGAAATGTAAAAACCAGCACTGACAGTGGTGCTGTCGTCTCCACTGTGGTCTGTCTGCTTTATTGAGTGTCTATAACAGATATATTATGTCTACAGTATATAATCTGTGATGTGTCTGCAGTGAGTCCAGTCCACTACAGTTTTTATAAACGTTGTCGTAATTAATGTGTGGATTCTTGACTTATGGCCAAGAACATGTTTTTTGAGGTCACAGTGATCTGAACACCAAAGTGTCATCAGTTCATCGTTCCCTCGTTCGTCAGACACTGAACGGATTTTAATCATCAAAAAAATGAGTATCAGTTCAAGTGTTTGATGTAATCAGAGTATTTTTACTGTTGGACCGTCCTGTATGACGTTCATGAGACTGGGACAGACAGACGTACCGACCTGAAGACAGAACGCCGCCGGTCATTAGTGAGGCCTTGTAATTACAGTAATAATTAATGTTAATTTTGACTGACGACCTCCACTGACACCATGACTGTCTCCAACTCCTCCTGTTGTTTCTGTCCATGATGACAGGCAGGACACGTGTTGATGTGACGGCCTGTTCATCTCTGGTGTCGTACTGTTAAACATACAGATACAGTCGCTCACCTGTCACCCCCACATGACAGGACGCCTGCAGACGGAGGAATCAAACTACAGTTACAGTTAAATAAGATAAGTCAGGAGGTCGACATGAGACCGCAAACACAAACTGATTCTGGAACAGGACGAGCATCAGGATGAGGCCTCGGCACTTTTATGTATGTGTGTATGTGTGTGTGTGTGTGTGTGTGTGTGTGCGCGCGGTGAGGGGTACTTGTGAGTAATCATCCAGGAGCATCAAAGCCATGCATCCTCCCCGCTCCAGCAGCGTGCAGCTCTGATCTGAGAGGAAACGTCCCCATGTAGTGCTCAGGACAGACACACAGACAGACAGACGCAGAGGGGACAGACAGACCCAGAGAGGACAGACAGACAGACCCAGAGGGGACAGACAGACCCTGAGGAGACAGATGGACACAGATGGGACAGACAGACAGACAGACCCAGAGGGGACAGAGTAGGAAGGACACAGCCCACAGGAAGTTGAGAAGCCAGAAACTCTTTATTGTCCAGTGCAAACTTCTACATGATAGAAAAGAAAATGGAGGACAGAGTTTGTGCATTGCTTCTTTCTACCACAGGTGATTAGATGGTGATTATCAGGTCACCTCTCTAAGGTCTCTACTGTGTTCTACTCTTCACCTGCTGATTCTACTGTCTCTGTGAGCTGATATATATCGTACTGAGCTGAGAGGGATTAAAACAATGATGCAGAAGAGCTTCAACATTAATGTGTGAGAGACAAACGAGGAGCGGACAGCGGTGCCACCAAGACACTGTAACAACACCAGGCTCTGAACTGTTGGAGACACCATAACAACACTAGGCTCTGAACTGTTGGAGACACCGTACCTACACCAGGCTCTGAACTGTTGGAGACACCATAACAACACCAGGCTCTGAACTGTTGGAGACACCGTACCTACACCAGGCTCTGAACTGTTGGAGACACCGTACCTACACCAGGCTCTGAACTGTTGGAGACACCGTAACAACACCAGGCTCTGAACTGTTGGAGACACCGTACCTACACCAGGCTCTGAACTGTTGGAGACACCGTACCTACACCAGGCTCTGAACTGTTGGAGACACCGTACCTACACCAGGCTCTGAACTGTTGGAGACACCGTACCTACACCAGGCTCTGAACTGTTGGAGACACCGTACCTACACCAGGCTCTGAACTGTTGGAGACACCGTACCTACACCAGGCTCTGAACTGTTGGAGACACCGTACCTACACCAGGCTCTGAACTGTTGGAGACACCGTACCTACACCAGGCTCTGAACTGTTGGAGACACCGTACCTACACCAGGCTCTGAACTGTTGGAGACACCGTACCTACACCAGGCTCTGAACTGTTGGAGACACCGTACCTACACCAGGCTCTGAACTGTTGGAGACACCGTACCTACACCAGGCTCTGAACTGTTGGAGACACCGTACCTACACCAGGCTCTGAACTGTTGGAGACACCGTACCTACACCAGGCTCTGAACTGTTGGAGACACCGTACCTACACCAGGCTCTGAACTGTTGGAGACACCGTACCTACACCAGGCTCTGAACTGTTGGAGACACCGTACCTACACCAGGCTCTGAACTGTTGGAGACACCGTACCTACACCAGGCTCTGAACTGTTGGAGACACCGTACCTACACCAGGCTCTGAACTGTTGGAGACACCGTACCTACACCAGGCTCTGAACTGTTGGAGACACCGTACCTACACCAGGCTCTGAACTGTTGGAGACACCGTACCTACACCAGGCTCTGAACTGTTGGAGACACCGTAACTACACCAGGCTCTGAACTGTTGGAGACACCGTACCTACACCAGGCTCTGAACTGTTGGAGACACCGTACCTACACCAGGCTCTGAACTGTTGGAGACACCGTACCTACACCAGGCTCTGAACTGTTGGAGACACCGTACCTACACCAGGCTCTGAACTGTTGGAGACACCGTACCTACACCAGGCTCTGAACTGTTGGAGACACCGTACCTACACCAGGCTCTGAACTGTTGGAGACACCGTACCTACACCAGGCTCTGAACTGTTGGAGACACCGTACCTACACCAGGCTCTGAACTGTTGGAGACACCGTACCTACACCAGGCTCTGAACTGTTGGAGACACCGTACCTACACCAGGCTCTGAACTGTTGGAGACACCGTACCTACACCAGGCTCTGAACTGTTGGAGACACCGTACCTACACCAGGCTCTGAACTGTTGGAGACACCGTACCAACACCAGGCTCTGAACTGTTGGAGACACCGTACCTACACCAGGCTCTGAACTGTTGGAGACACCGTACCTACACCAGGCTCTGAACTGTTGGAGACACCGTACCTACACCAGGCTCTGAACTGTTGGAGACACCGTACCTACACCAGGCTCTGAACTGTTGGAGACACCGTACCTACACCAGGCTCTGAACTGTTGGAGACACCGTACCTACACCAGGCTCTGAACTGTTGGAGACACCGTACCTACACCAGGCTCTGAACTGTTGGAGACACCGTACCTACACCAGGCTCTGAACTGTTGGAGACACCGTACCTACACCAGGCTCTGAACTGTTGGAGACACCGTACCTACACCAGGCTCTGAACTGTTGGAGACACCGTACCTACACCAGGCTCTGAACTGTTGGAGACACCGTACCTACACCAGGCTCTGAACTGTTGGAGACACCGTACCTACACCAGGCTCTGAACTGTTGGAGACACCGTACCTACACCAGGCTCTGAACTGTTGGAGACACCGTACCTACACCAGGCTCTGAACTGTTGGAGACACCGTACCTACACCAGGCTCTGAACTGTTGGAGACACCGTACCTACACCAGGCTCTGAACTGTTGGAGACACCGTACCTACACCAGGCTCTGAACTGTTGGAGACACCGTACCTACACCAGGCTCTGAACTGTTGGAGACACCGTACCTACACCAGGCTCTGAACTGTTGGAGACACCGTACCTACACCAGGCTCTGAACTGTTGGAGACACCGTACCTACACCAGGCTCTGAACTGTTGGAGACACCGTACCTACACCAGGCTCTGAACTGTTGGAGACACCGTACCTACACCAGGCTCTGAACTGTTGGAGACACCGTACCTACACCAGGCTCTGAACTGTTGGAGACACCGTACCTACACCAGGCTCTGAACTGTTGGAGACACCGTACCTACACCAGGCTCTGAACTGTTGGAGACACCGTACCTACACCAGGCTCTGAACTGTTGGAGACACCATAACAACACCAGGCTCTGAACTGTTGGAGACACTGTACCTACACCAGGCTCTGAACTGTTGGAGACACCATAACAACACCAGGCTCTGAACTGTTGGAGACACTGTACCTACACCAGGCTCTGAACTGCTGGAGACACCATAACAACACCAGGCTCTGAACTGTTGGAGACACTGTACCTACACCAGGCTCTGAACTGTTGGAGACACTGTAACAACACCAGGTTCTGAACTGTTGGAGACACCATAACAACACCAGGCTCTGAACTGTTGGAGACACTGTACCTACACCAGGCTCTGAACTGTTGGAGACACTGTAACAACACTAGGTTCTGAACTGTTGGAGACACCATAACAACACCAGGCTCTGAACTGTTGGAGACACTGTACCTACACCAGGCTCTGAACTGTTGGAGACACTGTAACAACACTAGGTTCTGAACTGTTGGAGACACCATAACAACACCAGGCTCTGAACTGTTGGAGACACTGTACCTACACCAGGCTCTGAACTGTTGGAGACACTGTAACAACACTAGGTTCTGAACTGTTGGAGACACCATAACAACACTAGGCTCTGAACTGTTGGAGACACCATAACAACACCAGGCTCTGAACTGCTGGAGACACCGTACCTACACCAGGCTCTGAACTGTTGGTCTGATAAACTCATTCATATAAAGAAGGAAACTTGGAGGAAGTGTTTATTATTTTTCACTGTCTTCAGAGATGCTGATAAAACAATGATCAGAATAAATCTCTTTAAGGAGCAGTGTGGAGGATTCAGTGCCGTCTATCAGTGAGGATTACAGATTACAGATTACAGATTACAACCATCTGAAACTTCTCCTGGTTAGAATTCATTCAGTGTTGATTGTTGAGGAGCTGAATTATTCACAGAGGTCTCTTCCTCTCAGAAACAAACACACCAGCTGATTGACACCAGGAAACACTCTGAACACACAGGGTCAGGTTATAAATCAGTGTTAGTCTTCAGATGAACTGAGGACGGTGAGAGGTGAAACGTCTATGAAACAGAACAAACAGAGCAGCTGAATTATCTAAATGAATAAAGATGGTTAAATAAATCTGTGTTTCTCTGACGTTGCTCTTTGCAGAGTTGATGCCAACTACAGTGTCTGACATGAACACATGAATGTCTCTATCTCAATCAATCAATCAATTTTATTTATAAAGCCCAATATCACAAATCACAATTTGCCTCACATGGCTTTACAGCATACGACATCCCTCTGTCCTTATGACCCTCACAGCTGATCAGGAAAAACTCCCCCAAAAAAACCCTTTAACGGGGAAAAAAACGGTAGAAACCTCAGTGTCAGTGTTTGGTTTGTCCGTTCTGGGCTACTGTAGAAACGTGGCGGTGCAACATGGCGACCTCGTAGACAAGGACCTGCTCCCTGTGTCGATATAAACGACTCAATCAATTCTTATTTAGGCTAATAAAAGAAAACACTAGTTAAAATCCTCCACAGTGGAGCTTTGACCTGTCGAACAGATTTTCAGTGATGACGCCGTCGCTCCTCGTTCAGCCTCGTTTTTATTGCATCTGGGCCGCGGGGCCTGAACCTGTCCTATATATCAATGATGCATAAAACAGCTCAGCGTAGGCCACTTCAACTGTACTCTGATAGAGTACAGACTCTCCTCACTGTAACCGTGGTAATGTGGTGATGAACCTCTGTCAGAGGATAACATAAACTGAACAGGAGAAAGGCTGATTAATGATGATGATGATCTAAATCAGTGTAAACATGTCTGATGCTGGTGGAACAGAGGAAATAAAGACGCTCTGGTCTGAAGACGTACCAGAGGATCACAGACTGTGTATTGCTCTCTGTTACAGGGACTTGTGGGAAATGTAGTCAGATTACAGGCAGCTCTCACAGCAGTCTGGTTACAATGTGTTAGTCTGTCAATCCACCAATCAGGTCATTATTACTGTCTCGTTATCTTAAAGGAAGACTTTGACATTTTAGAGTGTTGTTAGCATTGTTAGCATTCCTCACTGAACCCAGACGACACCAGGAAGTACAAACTGGATCCACTGTGAATGTCAAAGTGTTCCCTCAGACCAGCAGAGTCTCCACATCGTCCTGACTGAGCTCTGATGTCACACAGAGAACCAACCTTCATTGTCTCTGAGGTGGAGACTCTGCTTCACACTCGTTAATTCAAATGTTGATTAAGGAGGTAAATTTGGGACAAAGGCAGTAAAACAAGGCACTTGGATTAGACGTGAAGAAAAGAAAGCAGGGAGGTGTGATCATGATTTGTGCCAAATGTGTCGCCTCTTTCTTCATCTCATCAACCTGAATACTCGACTCTGTCACTTCTCGCCGTTCCTTTGCTCCTCTAAATTCTCTTGATACCAAATCTCTACAAAATATACCTGTACAGCTGTGTTCTGAAAATATCCCTCAGTAAATAAATAAAGGTGTGTGATGTACAGAGACGGGCTCTTCTGTCTACTTCCTGCTGACACATCATCTCCTCTTCCTCTCAGTGGCGTTACATTCAGAATTGTGTCAGTGAGGTCCCACCAGGGGGCAGCATGTGGTAACCAGGTTCACTTTGAACCTTTAATAATATTAAATAAAGAAGGAGCGCCTGTCCAACACGAGCCGAGTATCTGTTCCCTGTGCTCTCTCACTGTTCTTAAAGCATGAACCAACCTAACCACCCAGCCACTGTAAGTCCCGCCCATCTAGCATGTTAGTGCTAATGTCAACAAGGCAGAGTGAGCTAACGTGTTAGCCTTCCTGCTGAGTTATTATGTGGCTGGGGGCTGGAGGGGGGCGTAGCAGCAGTGGTGAAGGTGGTGCTCCCTGTGTCTGCTGCTGCTGCGCGGGGGTGGGGGGTAACGTACGGAGGCCGGCGCGTCAGAGGTGCTGGAGGGCAGCCTGGAGGAGGACGAGGAGCGTTGGGTGCTGACGGTGGAGGTGGACAGGCCTGCGCATGAGCGTTCGCCCTGGCTGAGGTTCCTCTTGCGCTCGCGAACGAGTGCCTTCTGGTGGCGCTTCATCCGCTCCAGCTGCTCCTCAGCCGTCATCCGTCCTCGAGGCTGGATGCTCGGGAGCTGCAGGGCTTCCGTAGGAGACGACAGGCGCTCCAAGGCACTCTTAGGTCTCTCCTGTGAGACAGGAAGGAAGGAGACAGGGACAATTTGAACAAGCACAGGACCGATACATGAGGGAGAGGACGGACGGATAATGAGGTCGATTCAGAACGAACTCAACAAGAATGAAATCAAAGACAGACAGGAAGTAAAGGACGAGAAAGACAGGATATAAACAGTGACATCATCCAGTAGAGCCAAAGGTGTATTATCATGACTTCACGCAGATACAGACATGTTGGAGTCCCCATCAGGCACACAGATCATCAGCCGTGCAAATCAGCCACGTAGATCATCATCCACACAGATCATCATCCACACAGATCATCAGCCACACAGATCATCAGCCGCGCGGATTATCATCCACACAGATCATCATCCACACAGATCATCATCCACACAGATCATCAGCCACAGATCATCAGCCGCGCGGATTATCATCCACACAGATCATTAGCCACACAGATCATCATCCACACAGATCATCAGCCACACAGATCATCACCCACATAGATCATCACCCACACAGATCATCAGCCACACAGATCATCATCCACACAGATAATCATCCACACAGATCATCAGCCGCACAGATCATCACCCACATAGATCATCATCCACACAGATCATCATCCATGCAGATCATCATCCACACCATCACCTGCTCCTCCCTCTACCTCTAACCTCTGCCCCTCTGTCCTGTCTGTCCTCTCTCCTCTCTGTCCTCTGCCCACTCTGTCCTGTCTGTCCTCTCTCTTCTCTGTCCTCTCCCCTCTCTGTACTGTCTGTCCTCTCTCTTCTATGTCCTCTCCCCTCTCTGTCCTCTGCCCACTCTGTCCTCTGGCCTGTCTGTCCTCTCTCCTCTCTGTCCTCTCTGCCCTCTGTCCTGTCTGTCCCCTCTCCTCTGCCCTCTTTGTCCTCTGATGTAGCCTGACATGGTCCAGCTGATCTCAGGTACATTCAGACACCTCCACCCTTGTTGTCTCCACTCACCTTGGGGGCAGAGCTCCCGGGGCCTCGTCTCAGGGTGACGTAGGACGTGATGGAGTTGGACTGGTTCAGTCGAGACGTCGGTCCTGACAGACAGAGACATGATAACAACGAGACAACAAATCAACACATTCAGGTTTCAGCTATAAAGTTTCAAAAGTCACAAGGTCAAACTGAAACTGACAGGACGAGAAACCCAAACTTATTCTGTCATGTATGGACACTGGGGAAATAAATTCTGACTCTTAATTACTACACATAAAAAAATATTTTCTTCAAGGGTCTCAGAAGAATTTTAATAAGGTTGAAACATCTCTGAGAAACATCAGATAAACTCTGGATCATTTATTTCACCTGATAAATACAAATCACAGTTTCACAGGTTTTCACTGATGAATCTTCAAGAGATTTAATTTATTAACTCGTCTGTGAATAAACAAACTGAAGGAATTTAATTAAAGTTTGATCAGTCATTTTTTCTCATTTTAATCCTGTACAGAAAAAAACAAGTTTGTTTGCAGTAAGAAATATTTAAATTAGAAATAAGCACACGCTGATGGACTGTAGATCTTCAGAGAGATGGTTTAGTAAAAACTGCTCATAAATAATAATAATAGTAAATTAATGACGTGTATTTCCTGTTAAAGTATTTCCTGTGGTACCTTTACTCTGGAAATACTGATACTCAGCGTCAGCCGTGATGCTGTGGTGACTCAGTCCTGGCAGCTCCGGTTCACTCAGGTATGAACGCAGGTCAGTCTGAAATCAGAGAGAGTTACAGACAGGAAGTAGACATGATGTAGACAGGAAGTAGACAGGTGGTGCAGTCATAGTGTGGCAGGGTTATTCAGGTAGTAAATGACGGTATACCTTACAGTCTCCGTTGATGACATACTGTCCGCTCTCCCTGTCCCTCTTCCTCTCATCTGATTGGCGTTTCAGCCCACGTACCGACGTGTGGCGGATGACCGAGGCCTCTTTGGGGAGAGGCGGCACCACAGGGGGCGTCTCCTCGTAGTCATAGAGGCGAGGCAGTGGTGGCCTGGGTGGGGCGGTGTCCTCGGCCTGGACAGGAAGCACACAGAAGCAGGATTTAACCACATGTACTGCTGAGTCAGGGTTTCTAACACAGAACTCTTAAATCAGACTGAATCCAACAGGAAGTCCTCAACCTTAACAGGAAGTCCGCTCTGCTCTGTCTCAGAAGGACGACCGACACTCACCCAGTTTGGCACAGAACTGTGAGGCAGCGTCTGGGACAGGATGCTGGGGACGGAGCTGCGAGGAGGAGGCTGCACCTCTGTGCTGAGACAAGGCACTGCCAGCTCCGACACTGAAGGCACTAGTTTCCTCTCTGATGGAGACAATGTGGACAGACAGACACACAGACAGACACACAAACACATAGAGACAGACACACAGACACACAGACACACAGACAAACACACAGAGACAGACACACACAGACACACAAACACAGACACACAGACACAGACACACAGACACACAGACAAACACACAGAGACAGACACACACAGACACACAAACACAGACACACAGACACACAGACACAGACACACAGACACACAGACAAACACACAGAGATAGACACACAAACACACAGAGACAGACACACAAACACAGACACACAAACACACAGACACACAGACACACAAACACACATACACACAGAGACAGACACACACAGACACACAGAGACAGACACACACACACAGACACACAGACACACAGAGACAGACACACAAACACAGACACACAAACACACAGACACACAGACACACAAACACACATACACACAGAGAGACACACACAGACACACAGAGACAGACACACACACACACAGACACACAGACACACAGAGACAGACACACAAACACAGACACACAGACACAGACAGACACACAAACACACAGAGACAGACACACAGAGACAGACACACACACACACAGACACACAGACACACAGAGACAGACACACAAACACAGACACACAGACACAGACAGACACACAAACACAGAGAGACAGACACACAGAGACAGACACACACACACACAGACACACAGACACACAGAGACAGACACACAAACACAGACACACAGACACAGACAGACACACAAACACACAGAGACAGACACACAGAGACAGACACACACACACACAGACACACAGACACACAGAGACAGACACACAAACACAGACACACAGACACAGACAGACACACAAACACAGAGACACAGACACAGACACACAAACACACAGAGACAGACACACACAGACACACAGACAGACACACAGAGACAGACACACAAACAGACACACAGACACAGACACACAAACACACAGAGACAGACACACACAGACACACAAACACACATACACACAGAGACAGACAGACACACAGACACACAGACACAGACACACACAGGCACACAGACACACACACACAGGCACACACACACAGACACACACAGGCACACAGACACACAAGGCACACAGACACACAGACACACACACACACACAGACACACAGACACACAGGCACACAGACAGACACACAGACAGACACACACACAGACACACACACACACACAGACACACACACACACACAGACACACACACAGACACACAGACACAGCGAGACATGGTTAAATAAAAAGAGAAATAAAGGTTCAGCTGTAAAATGTGAGCAGGTCTGACATTGATCTACAATGAGGAGAGAGTTCACACCACGCTCACACAGAGAGGAGCAGAAACACACACACCAACTACAAAACACACGCACCTGCTACACAACACACACACCTGCTACACAATACACACACCAGATTGTGTTACTGAGTGAATATGTATTAACGTGTCTCTGATGTGAAAATGTTGACGAGGTCAAACCTGTGCCTCTTCTTAAAAACTGTCTGATCTCAGCTGTGAACGAATAAATTGTGTGTCTTTCTTTATAAAAGACAAAGTGTCCTCAGGTGAGGATGTGTGCTGGGTTGCCATGGTAACCGACCTGGGTTCTGGACAGAGTCGATGGTGATCTTGTAGTTGGCTTTGCTGGCGCTCAATCCTCCCATCACGTCCTCGATCCTCCACAGCTCGCGCTTCATCTCAGCCTTCTCCTGCTGCGGAGTGACACACACACACACACACACACACACACACACACACACACACACACACACGTTACTGTTTCAGCTGGTTTTATTATGTTACACATTAAATAATTAACACAACATGTTGTCCTGTAAATGAAGAGCTGAGGAGAGAACTGTCAGGTGTCATCAGACAAACAGGAAGTGGATGATTTCTGTTAGATTTTAAACTATGTGGGCGCCATTCAATTCAATTCAATCAATTTTATTCAATTTCATCAGCCCAGTATCACCAATCACAGTTTGCCTCTGAGGCTTTACAACATACGACATCCTGCTGTGCTTTGGACCTTCACAGCTGATCAGGAAAACAATGGTAGAAAGCTCAGGAAGAGCAACTGAGGAGGGATCCCTCTTCCAGGACGGACAGACGTGCAATAGATGTCGTACAGAACAGATCAGATCAGCATAATAAATAAACCAGCAGGTGTCAGTGTGGAGCTGAAGCTGCTCTGAGCTGCAGTACCAGGTCTCACCTGAGGGGTGGCGCTGTCGTTCATGTGTGCCTGCAGTGCCGTCCTCAACTGCTCCACTGATCTCTCCAGCTGGATGTACTCCTCCCACGCCTGAGCCATCTCCTGCAGCGCGCGCACACACACACACACACACACACACACACAAACACACACACACACACACACACAGACACACAGACACACACACAGACACACAGAGAGTCATAGTCTGCAGGTACACACACCTACACATCTCTACTGTCCTGTAGTGTCCTATAGTGTCCTGTAGTGTCCTGTAGTGTCCTATAGTGTCCTGTAGTGTCCTGTAGTGTCCTATAGTGTCCTGTAGTGTCCTATAGTGTCCTGTGGTGTCCTATAGTGTCCTATAGTGTCCTGTAGTGTCCTGTAGTGTCCTATAGTGTCCTGTAGTGTCCTATAGTGTCCTGTGGTGTCCTATAGTGTCCTGTGGTGTCCTGTAATGTCCTATAGTGTCCTATAGTGTCCTGTAGTGTCCTGTGGTGTCATATAGTGTCCTGTGGTGTCCTGTGGTGTCCTATAGTGTTCTTTAGTGTCCTGTAGTGTCCTATAATGTCCTGTAGTGTCCTATAGTGTCCTATAGTGTCCTGTAGTGTCCTATAGTGTCCTGTAGTGTCCTGTAGTGTCCTATAGTGTCCTGTAGTGTCCTATAGTGTCCTGTAGTGTCCTGTAGTGTCCTATAGTGTCCTGTAGTGTCCTATAGTGTCCTGTAGTGTCCTGTAGTGTCCTATAGTGTCCTGTAGTGTCCTATAGTGTCCTGTAGTGTCCTGTAGTGTCCTATAGTGTCCTGTAGTGTCCTATAGTGTCCTGTAGTGTCCTGTAGTGTCCTATAGTGTCCTGTAGTGTCCTATAGTGTCCTGTAGTGTCCTGTAGTGTCCTATAGTGTCCTGTAGTGTCCTATAGTGTCCTGTAGTGTCCTGTAGTGTCCTATAGTGTCCTGTAGTGTCCTATAGTGTCCTGTAGTGTCCTGTAGTGTCCTATAGTGTCCTGTAGTGTCCTGTAGTGTCCTATAGTGTCCTGTAGTGTCCTATAGTGTCCTGTAGTGTCCTGTAGTGTCCTATAGTGTCCTGTAGTGTCCTATAGTGTCCTGTAGTGTCCTGTAGTGTCCTATAGTGTCCTGTAGTGTCCTGTAGTGTCCTATAGTGTCCTGTAGTGTCCTATAGTGTCCTGTAGTGTCCTGTAGTGTCCTATAGTGTCCTGTAGTGTCCTGTAGTGTCCTATAGTGTCCTGTAGTGTCCTATAGTGTCCTGTAGTGTCCTGTAGTGTCCTATAGTGTCCTGTAGTGTCCTGTAGTGTCCTATAGTGTCCTGTAGTGTCCTATAGTGTCCTGTAGTGTCCTGTAGTGTCCTATAGTGTCCTGTAGTGTCCTGTAGTGTCCTATAGTGTCCTGTAGTGTCCTATAGTGTCCTGTAGTGTCCTGTAGTGTCCTATAGTGTCCTGTAGTGTCCTGTAGTGTCCTGTAGTGTCCTGTAGTGTCCTGTAGTGTCCTGTAGTGTCCTGTAGTGTCCTGTGGTGTCCTATAGTGTCCTGTAGTGTCCTGTAGTGTCCTGTAGTGTCCTGTAGTGTCCTATAGTGTCCTGTGGTGTCCTATAGTGTCCTGTAGTGTCCTGTAGTGTCCTGTAGTGTCCTGTGGTGTCCTATAGTGTCCTGTAGTGTCCTGTAGTGTCCTGTGGTGTCCTATAGTGTCCTGTAGTGTCCTGTAGTGTCCTGTGGTGTCCTATAGTGTCCTGTAGTGTCCTGTAGTGTCCTGTAGTGTCCTGTAGTGTCCTGTAGTGTCCTGTGGTGTCCTATAGTGTCCTGTAGTGTCCTGTAGTGTCCTGTGGTGTCCTATAGTGTCCTGTAGTGTCCTGTAGTGTCCTGTAGTGTCCTGTAGTGTCCTGTAGTGTCCTGTGGTGTCCTATAGTGTCCTGTAGTGTCCTGTAGTGTCCTGTGGTGTCCTATAGTGTCCTGTAGTGTCCTGTAGTGTCCTGTAGTGTCCTGTAGTGTCCTGTAGTGTCCTGTAGTGTCCTGTGGTGTCCTATAGTGTCCTGTAGTGTCCTGTAGTGTCCTGTAGTGTCCTGTGGTGTCCTATAGTGTCCTGTAGTGTCCTGTAGTGTCCTGTAGTGTCCTGTGGTGTCCTATAGTGTCCTGTAGTGTCCTGTAGTGTCCTGTAGTGTCCTGTGGTGTCCTATAGTGTCCTGTAGTGTCCTGTAGTGTCCTGTAGTGTCCTGTGGTGTCCTATAGTGTCCTGTAGTGTCCTGTAGTGTCCTGTAGTGTCCTGTGGTGTCCTATAGTGTCCTGTGGTGTCCTATAGTGTCCTGTAGTGTTCTGTGGTGTCCTATAGTGTCCTGTAGTGTCCTATAGTGTCCTGTAGTGTTCTGTGGTGTCCTATAGTGTCCTGTAGTGTCCTATAGTGTCCTGTGGTGTCCTATAGTGTCCTGTAGTGTCCTATAGTGTTCTGTAGTGTCCTGTGGTGTCCTATAGTGTCCTGTGGTGTCCTATAGTGTCCTGTAGTGTTCTGTGGTGTCCTATAGTGTCCTGTAGTGTCCTATAGTGTCCTGTAGTGTTCTGTGGTGTCCTATAGTGTCCTGTAGTGTCCTATAGTGTCCTGTGGTGTCCTATAGTGTCCTGTAGTGTCCTATAGTGTTCTGTAGTGTCCTGTGGTGTCCTATAGTGTTCTATAGTGTCCTGTAGTGTCCTATAGTGTTCTGTAGTGTCCTGTGGTGTCCTATAGTGTCCTGTAGTGTCCTGTGGTGTCCTGTAGTGTCCTATAGTGTTCTGTAGTGTCCTGTGGTGTCCTATAGTGTCCTGTAGTGTCCTGTAGTGTCCTATAGTATGCTGTGGTGTCCTGTAGTGTCCTGTAGTATGCTGTGGTGTCCTGTAGTGTCCTATAGTATGCTGTGGTGTCCTGTAGTGTCCTATAGTGTCCTGTGGTGTCCTGTAGTGTCCTGTAGTGTCCTATAGTATGCTGTGGTGTCCTGTAGTGTCCTATAGTGTCCTGTAGTGTCCTGTAGGTACCGTGGACAGACGGGATATCTGGGCCCTGATGGTGACCAGGTCCTCCTGCAGCAGTCTCTGTTGGTAGGCGATCTTGTGGACGTGGGCCGGCTGCTCCTGGTACTGCTCCATCTGCTGGTGGGACACGTCCAACACACTCTCCAACTTGTCCTGAGGGGACAGAGAGACACGCAGCATCACGTCAACCAAAGCTGCTCTGAGACTTTTTCAGTCCCATTCAACATGTTTCCTAACGTCAGTTATGAACCAATAGGATCTGACCTCACTTCCTGTTTTAATCACAGTGACAACATGTCTCCTGTTCTCTTATTACAGTCTCTGAGAGGTGACCCAGGCTCCTGGAAATTAAATTTATTATTTTTATTTTTATTTTTATTGGTACTACAAATATAATTACACATATAATTACATAATACATTACACACATGTGTGTGTCTTTCGGACCTGTGTGTTAATGACAAAAAAAGAGTGAAAAAAATTGGATTTCCCCTCAGTGTGATTAATAAAGTATTTAAATAAATATTAAATAAAAATAATAATAAATTATACATATAATTACATATATAATTACACATATAATTAAATACATTTATGGTTTTGTCCCGCAGCCCTATGAGACCTGATGTGAACTCTGAATGTCTGTCATTGTAATTTATGTCATCATCTTCACAAAAAATTTTGAAATCTTCAAACTTATGCTGCGTTCGTTTTGTACTCGGAGGTTGGAAATTCCCAGTTCCCAGTCTGAAGTTTAAACTCGAACGCACACTGAGATCGGATTTCCAACTCAGAAACTCAGAGCAACCGCATCAACCCTGACTTACGAATTCAAGATGGCTGCCGGTCACATACGCTGTGAGTAAACACTCTGCTAAAGTACTGTTTATAGCAATTCTATCTTATTTGTTTTACATTAGGTCAGCCTCATCTGTGGCTTTCATCAGTAGGAGTGCATGATGGGTTTGAAGCTGTCTTTACTCAACAAAGGGCAACAAAGGCTTTCTTGCGGACGTCCATGTTTTTTTTTTTTTTCGACTTGTCCACCGTCGTCAGTGAGAATGCAAAAACTGTTGTCAACTCAGAGGTGATGTCATTCCCACTTCTGACTTCCGACCTCTGAGTACAAAACAAACGCAGTTTAATAAATTAATGTAATATATTTATTATCTATTTCATCATGTGATGAGCTGGCAGCACTCACACGTGTCACATGACAGTAAGCTGTCACATTAATCACCGAGCTGTTACTTGGACCTGAAGCATTTATTCACTCAGGTGCATTTTGTCTTTGAGGATATGTGATGACAGGAGGTTTGTGTCTGATCAAAGAGGTGGTGAATAAATATAATATATATCAACACATGTGTAAACCAGCTGTGTGTAGTTTTTGGTTCTTATCAATGTGTGCTCTGATCCATCTGTTTTATAAATACAAACGTGACGACCTGAATAAATATTAATATTTAACTCTAGCTTCACAGATCTGATCACTGTGTTAATAAATATGTGTGACATTGTTTAACATGTATGTACAGACTGTTGACGATGTTAGCTCCGCCCATCTGACCACCTGACCTGCAAATGTCAGGTTACAGGTGTGTGTTGAGTTTGAGACTCTTTTGTGATTTTCAGCTTCAAACCGATCCATGAACACACGCTGCATTTAAGTGCTGCTGTAAAACTGGGACATCTGGGTTTTTAGTGAATTTGTCTGTGATGTCAAAGCGTGAAAGAGGTTTTTTAAAAAGTCCGAGCAGCTTGTCACCTCTCGGTTAGAACACGTACATTAAATAACTCCAGGCTCCATACCGAGGCCTGGAGATGTGAACATATGATTTAAAAGAGGATCTTCAGCTGTGACTCCTCTGATATCAGCTCTGTCCCTGAATGTGACACCGTCATGTCATATCTGAACACGCTGGTCCGTCAGCCTGCCTGACGTCAGCTGATATGGTGAGACGGTGTAACCAGCTGGGTTCGTACCTTGTCCTCCTTCAGGGAGCTGATCCTGACCTCCAGATCTTTGAGGATCTTGTCCTGCTCACACAGCCGACTTAGTTTCACCTGCAGGGGGAGACAGAGAGCGCAGTGAGCAGGTGACCTCTGCTAATGAAGTTAATGACAGCTTCCTCTCGTCTCTGCAGCTGCAGATAAACCGTGTGTTTGTGAACATCTGCGAGCACGGCGGTCTGTGACCACGGAGCTGGACTCGTGGTGTAATTAACATGAGTGAGCTTGTTACACAGAGTGGGCGTGACCCACCTGACACTGTTAATTACAGTGTCAGCAGCTCTCGTTAATTAATCCTCCGTTAGCGTGGACCCTTCATCATCCTGCGGTAAAACAAACACTGATGTCAGACGGTCGTGATTCTGCAGCTCCGTGTGAACAAAATGCTCACACACACACGCACGCACACACACACACGCACACAAACACACACACACACACACACACACACACACACACACACACACACCTCATGAATCATTCATGCTGTTGTTGTCTCCACGGTGATGTCGATGTTGGATCTAATCAAATATTCATGGCAGACAGCGCTCTCATAAAATGTTTAAACAGCTGAGAAATAGAGGAGAAATAATCAAACCTGTGGAGGATAGTTTGACTTATTAAACTGAAGCAGGTGTAACAGTTACCTGTTCACACTCTCACCCTCAAAATGAAACTTTATCAGTCCTCCAAACTTTTTACACAACGTCCAGATTCTCATCTTCATCACTGTTCACTGTGTTGATCTGCAGCTGTCTGAGCCGCTCACTTAACACACTGAAACTGAGTGTCTACTGAGACTCAGATGTTATCTTAATAAATGGACAGAAATCCTTCACACACTAAATCATCATTTGACGTCAGAATCCAGAAGAGCTGAACATTCTTGATGAACTGAAGTCACCTGGGTCCATATTTAACTTCAGCAAGACTACGTCAAAGCTGAGTTTACTCAGACAGCTGCTGCACAACAATCACAGTCTCATTGATCACGTCAGAAGGTCAGGACATCACTCCCACCTGAGTAACAGTCTGGTGCACGGCGGAGGAGCGTGTCTGTGTGAGCAGTACAGGGCTCCTGATGGGAAATGTTTTATATCACAACATGTTAGATCATCTGACATGATAAATGAGACTGTGATTGTTCTGCAGCTCTGTGAGAGGCTGTGAACTGATGTTCAACGTCGACCTCTGTGACTTCAGTTATTCATGAATGTTCACCTGTTTTTGGATTCTTCGTTCACCGAGGACACGACTGGAAAATAAGTTTAAATCACAAATTTGCCTGAAAACAAAGAAAGTGAGCCACAATTTTCTTTAAACTTCAATCAGTAATAGAAAATGTTGGACTGAAGCTGCACCTAATAATTGTTTTCATTACCGATCAATCTGACAGTTATTTTCACAATTGATCAATTAATTATTTGGTTTATAAAATGTATAAAAACTTGTCCAGAGACCAAAGTGACATCTTCACATTGCTTCTTTTCAGTTATGATGAGAAATGACAAAGAAAAGCTGCAAATTATTAAAGTTAAGAAGCTAGAAAATGTTGGATGTTTGTACTTGACAAATAACTTGATGATTAACTGATTATCAAAACATTTTCTTTCAGTCGACTCATCAATATATTGACTAATCATTGCAGTTGAATGTTGGTAACATTTTCCAGACTTTTGGATTTGATGAAGTTCAGTATGTGATGAGTATAAATGAAGTTTTCTTGGCCGAGCGCTTCACTTCCCCACACTGAGGTGACAGTCTCCTCCACAGCGTCATGAATCAAAGTGTGTTTAATGCAGCAACATTTTAAGGAGCCGTGAAGCTCGTACTTACGTCCACATCACTTTCTGCCACCTTGACAGGTTTCCCAGAATCCTTCAGCGTCTGACTTCCTGCGACCTGGAGATGAAAACAAAACATGTTCAGGTGTGAACACAGTGTGTGAGGCGTGGTAGATACAGAGAGAAGCTACAAACTACAGCTACACGAGGCAGAGACAGACTTCACCTCGTGTTCATGACAACATGGGTGACATCTGAAACACAGAATCAGCTCCTGCCATGAAGAACACTACGACTATGGACACTTTGAAGCCCTGCACGATCTGACTCATCAATAAACCCTCTGAACACTTAATGACATCCCGTCAGGATAAAAAGTCAGAAAGTTTTTATTTTGGCAACAAACCTTGGATTTTGAGTTTTACTGACAGGCTTCTACAGTGTGAGATTAACTTCCTAAAAACAGTAACAGGAGTTTTTAAAGTGGGGCTGTACGAGGCTCTGCTCCACAGTCAGTGTGTTACCTACAGCTGGCGTCAGCTGGCATGTTCCCTGGTTGGTGCTGCAGGATGGAGTCTGAAACGGAAGCTAATGTATCTACTGCTGTGGGCAGGGTCAGCAATAACATGTATTTCAGACACCTAAAAAAAGTTTATGACAATATACGTGTCGCTATACTGAGAATATTCTCACTGCTTCACCTTCAGACAGCTCGATCTGACAGTGAAGATGTTCAAGTCTTCATCTCATCTATGCGCCAGTGATTTAACATGAGTGAACACGGAGCTGCTGGTCGACTGCTGCCTCCATCACTTAGTGTGTTTGTGTTACTGTGTGACTTTGCTGTTGTAAAGGGTTAATTCAGATTCACCAAAGTGGCACAAACTAACAAACTGATGGAGGCAGCTGTCGACCAGCAGCTCCATGTTCACTCACTGGTTTTCTCTGAAGAGAGCAGCTTCACTCTCCTGTCAGAAACCACTGTCTGACATTAAGGTCAAAGTGTTCACATTTAATACAGTGAACACCTAAACTGAATTTTTTAGGTGTCTACAACACCTGTTGTCACTGACCCCGCCCACAGCAGGACCTCTCTGAGCTTCATGTCAGACTCCTGTCTGCCTCTCCAAACTGCTGACTGACATCTACAGTGGGTCACACACTGACTGTGGATCAGTACAGTACAGTACAGTCGCACTTTAAAACACCTCAACTGTCTCTTTACAACAGAGCACACGTGTCAATTCACCAGATCATCAGTTTAAACTGACGTCAGCTCTTTGTTGTGTTTGTAAATGATTGGTTGAGGACGACGTGCTCGTGTTGGACAGATCACAGTGGAGACACAGTAGAGTCCTGTGTTCATGTCAAGGAGGTGCAGCGTTTCAGAGACGATGGTAGAAGCAGCTGGCTTTTCAACCACCGGGCCACAGCCACGACACATGCACTGCCGAGCCATCCCATGCCCACTTCTCAACAGCATCGTTACATCACCATGGGGTGGGGGTGGGGGGGTGGGGGTTCAAAGGTCACATCTGATGCCAGTCAAGCTGTGAATGTGGTGCTGTGAGCGATGGGATGGTCCTTCTACAACAGAGACTGTCTAAACACACACGCACACACACACACACACACACACACACACACACACACACACACACAGGCTGGACACATGCGTCCCTACGCTGAACACAAGGGGATGTAACACATGCACGAGCGTCACGTCTACATGAACACACACACACACACACACACACACACACACACACATACGTCCAGCTCTTACGTTCACCAGCGGCCTGAGAGGCCCAGCAGTGCAGTGCAGTAGTAAACTGTGAACTGCGAGGATCAGGGGCTCTAGAGCTCTGATCTGGAGTCAAAACCACAAAGACACAGAGCTGCAGTCACAAACATGGCGACTGCTTCAGTCAGACGAGTTACAGGACTAGGGGGGTGGGGGTGGGGGGGGAGGGGGTCTCTGACTAATGTCTCTGTTCAACAGCTCAACACGGGCCAAGGGTCAGACGTGAGCGTCAGTAAGTGTGTTAGTCCGACACATTTCAGATCAGAAACACAACTCAGAGGAGACGTTAACTCTGTACGGCTCACCTTCAGGTCCAGGTACTCCAGGTCCTTCTTCAGCTGCATGTAGGTGTCATCAGCCTGCAGGGGGACAGACAGGGACAGACATGGACAGACAGGGACAGACACGGGCAGACAGGGACAGATAGGGACGGACAGGGACAGACAGGGACAGACACGGGCAGACAGACACAGACACAGACATACAGGGACAGACAGGGACAGACACGGGCAGACAGACACAGACACAGACATACAGGGACAGACACAGACAGACAAGGACAGACACGGACATACAGGGACAGACATGGACATACAGGGACAGACACAGACAGATAGGGACAGACATGGACAGACAGGGACAGACACAGACAGACAGGGACAGACACGGACAGACAGGGACAGACATGGACATACAGGGACAGACACAGACAGACAGGGACAGACACGGACATACAGGGACAGACATGGACATACAGGGACAGACACAGACAGGGACAGACATGGACAGACAGGGACAGACACGGACAGACATGGACAGACACAGACAGACAGGGACAGACAGGCACAGACACAGACAGACAGGACAGATAGGGACAGACATGGACAGACACGGACATACAGGGACAGACACAGACAGACAGGGACAGATAGGGACAGACACGGACAGACAGCGACAGACAGACAGACACAGACAGACATGGATAGACAGGGACAGACACGGACAGACAGCGACAGACAGGGACAGACACGGACAGACAGGGACAGACACGGACAGACAGGGACAGACACAGACAGACATGGACAGACATGGACAGACATGTCACTGTGGGTTATTGATTCATGTCAACAGTCTACAACCCTCAGTCCAAAAGAACTCTTCAGACGCTGCGTTAAAAACAGAACCAACCATTTCAGTCATTGTTATTCAGTTCAATCCAGTCCAGAGACGAGACGTTCAAACTGATAAAACTTTATTGTTCTGTTGTAAACATGAACATTAACTGTTTCTGGATTGAATAAAGGTCATTTGCAGATCATTATATTCTGGTTTTATTTAGGGTTTAAACAGCGTCCGGACTTTTTTGGGACGGAGGTTGTAAAGAAACTTGAGTGATAGTTCATCCAGCAGGACGTGGTGACGTCATAGTGTCAGGTATGAAGTGTGACCTGCTGTTACATGTCCTTGCCAACATGCATCACAACATCAGCAGCAAACCTTCAACACGTCGCTGAATTTAGTTTCGATTCAGCAACACATCAAGACAAACATCCTCCTGACAGAGGACCAAACTGACGGACACATCCACAGCCAGCCTGGTAGCCGAAGCATGGGATGGCTTTGCGGATGTCGAGGAGTTAGCAGCACAACATGCTCATGGACAGTTTCAGTAGAAGCACGGTATGGAGACGGACCAACCAACAACAGCACATGGAGCTAAGAGGAGGCAGATGAACCATGGCCGACGTGGTCTGCAGCTGTGGGGTCGAGGTTGCCACTGAAACACTCGGCTGGTGGTTTAGGTTGCGTGTTGCATTATGTCACTATAACACATGTACACATGGATGGAAACGACCAAGTTACAGTTACAGGTCTGGACTTCGACTGTGTCTGCAGGTGGACATACGAGGTGTCAGTGTTAATGAATATAAATCTTTGTTCGGCCTGTTTAGAGGATACATTTGGTGTTTCTCTACCTGGAGCCTTTTTTCTCCTGTTGGTGTCTCAGTGACTGATGGGAGCTACAGACTGAGAGGGTTGCAGCTGTAACCACTGTGTGCGTCCACTAACAGAGTTTGTTTCTGTCCCTGACAGGATCAGATTGTTATTCTGAGTGTTTGACATCATGATTAAAGGATCACTACAGAGATAGAGCTTTGTGTTAAACAGGAAGATCCTTTTTGTTTAGCAAGACACAGCCCTGAAATAACTGTCACCAAACCCACCAGATAACAATTAAATAAACACTCATGTTAGCCTGTACAGAGGCAGCATGTTGTCACATATAACGGGTTTATGTGACTGGAGTGTCTTTGTGATGACATCATGTTTGCAGGAAACTGAGACGATCACAGTTACAGTCATAAAGTTGGTACTGTAAGATCTGTTGGATGATGGTGGGATGATGTTGGGATGATGGGGGGTGATGGTTGGATGATGGGGATGATGGGGGATGATGGTGGGATGATGGTTGGATGATGGGGATGATGGTGGATGATGGTTGGATGATGGTGGATGATGGTGGGATGATGGGGGATGATGGTGGGATGATGGGGGATGATGGTGGGATGATGGTGAGATGATGGTGGGATGATGGTTGGATGATGGTGGGATGATGTTGGGATGATGGTGAGATGATGGTGGGATGATGGTTGGATGATGGAGAGATGATGGTGAGATGATGGTGGGATGATGGTTGGATGATGGTGGG